CTGGAGCGAAAAGCCATGCGTTGACAGACCTTGAACGCTATAGATTGCTGGGTATCCTTCCTAACTTGCCCCGAGAGGCAACTGTCAATGCCTATTTCCGGCAGTGGGACCTCATCCCCAGCCAACGGAAAGCCATGGTAAATGACCTTGTCGCGATTGCCAATGACTATGGGGATGAAGCACTCTCTGAGTTCGCAATGACACAATCTTCCATTTTTGAGTCACTAACGGAAAGGATGCAAGCTTCTGAGAATAATGAGCTCAACCAAGCCCTCAAATTCTTTGATCTCTCGCCACCAAACAGATACACCGCCGACCAGATCATTGCCTCGTTCAGACTTACCCTAGCAGGCCGCCCTGGGCAGGCCGCCACGGCTCGGGATATGCTCATGGTGATTGCCGGTGCTTCAAGTGATCCTGAATACCAGACTCGTCTTCTTATGGAATCTGATTCCAATATGACCCTTGATACCAGCAAGGCACTCTTCAATGTCCCACCCAATGACGTGATGGATTCCCAAGCATGGATCCAAGTGGGAAGAAGCAAGGTAGGCCAAGATCTCCGCACGATTGGCTCATGCCAATGTGCACCACCCTGTCCTCATGCTTTCTTGCTCTCCGCTAACCTTACCGTAGCTCAAATCTTGTACAAGCAGACAAGAAAAGCTTCTCTACCTAAGTGCTTTGAACACGATCGCTGACGTTACTGATGATGCCCGACTCAAACAAGGAGCTGCCGAGCTTCAAGAAAGATTTACGCCTGCTGGAGAGGAAGATGATGGGAACGAGGCCCCTGCAGATATCAATATCCCGGTAGGGTTGAATAATATCGGCAACACTTGTTACCTGAACAGTTTACTCCAGTACTTGTTCACCGTCAAGGCCGTTCGAGACATAGCCTTCAACTACTCTGACTATCGTTTGGAACTGACTGACGAGCAAATTGCCGAACGGAAAATTGGAGGGAACAAGATGACCATGGATCGAGCCGAAGCTGTGGTCGCTCAAGCCTGTACGTTATGAACTCCCTTCTGAGTGCTTTGCCAGTCCCGCATTTCGCTAATTACGATCCCAGTTGTCCACGAACTTGCCGACCTATTTAACAAGCTCAAGTCCCATAATCAGGCTGCAACACGCCCATCCCAACGTTTAGCTAACGCTGTTCTTTTGTCGACGCACTCGTTACTAGAGGACTTAAAATCCAAAGAGGCGTCGACCTCGACGTTACCTCCACCACTACCAGTACGGCCCCCATCAAAACCTCCTTCGCCAGTGGCAGAAGCAGAGGATACAGAGATGGCCTCAGAAAGAAATCATTCTAGCCAAGACTCTGAGACTGTTAGCAATGGCAGCTCTGAAACTTTGGTTGACCTGGTAACTGTGGTGTCTGATAAACCAGTCTCGGAAGAGCAGCCTTCTTCTACGCATCTAGATGGAAAACCAAACGAGCCAACTATCAGAGTAGTTGATGAATCAATAGCCGAGACATCCGCTACAGTGGCTGGCGAGCCAACCAAAAACCCGGATGCCGATGTCATCATGAGCGACCTAGTTGATGAAAAGCAACAGCAAACCATCGATGAGAAAGTCCTTGACGCTCTAGGACATCAGAAAAGATCCTCGGGAACCGACCAACAAGACGTGGAGGAAGTCATTGGAAGTATCATCAACCGATTACAGGCAGCCATACACCCAAGCTCGGTTGATGAAAAGACCGGGATCCAATTCGAGAAGATAATGGAAACATTCTTTGTCACCACTGTCAACTACACAAAGAAGTTCGATGACCATACATACCAGAGCGAGATCAGCTACGACAGATCAATTACAGCGTTTCCAGCAGCGGATGGACCATGCTCACTTTACGATGCCTTAGGACGGAATTTCGACCAACAAGTTCTAGAAGAAAGCAGGCTTACTCGATACACAGCTATCAAGAGCCTCCCCCCTGTCTTACATGTCCTCATTCAAAGATCTCAATCAATCGGGCGCAAAAACGATAACCCTGTAGTCATCCCAGAGACTCTGTACCTCGACCGTTACATGGATGCGCCCCATGACTCTCCCGAATTCAAGCGCCGCACGGAACAGTGGATGGTGGGTGAATGGCTAGCAGACCTGAAACAGCAGAAAGCCCGCCTCAACGCCGATCCGAAAACTGGAGCCCTGCTAGATGAAATCAGAAGAAGGGATGAAAGCCAGACAAGCGATTGGGCTTCCGCAATAGCGGAGGCACGTTCTGCCATCGCTTCGCTCGACGACCAATTTGCCTTTGATGGCCCCACTACCGAGGACCTCATTACACTATCGGATCAAGACATAGACTCGAAAATGACTGATTCGACAACTAATGCCAGCCACAAGCTGGCTATTGAGCCAAATGGAATGGCCACAATTGAGGAGTTGACGCGAGCTCAACTAGAGGACGATATTGCCATTTATGGGCAGAGACTGGAGCAACTAGTTGGTGGTATGGAAAAGAACCCATATCGACTACAGGCTGTCATCTGTCATCGTGGCCACTTGAGCTCGGGGCACTACTGGGTATGGATCCATGACTTCGAGGCGAATGTCTGGAGATGGTACAATGACGCGGCGGTCAAAGAGAACCAGAACACTCAAGAAGTCCTTGAAACGCTGAGTAAGAGCGGAGAGCCGTACTATCTTTGCTACGTCCGGGACAGCGACAAGGGACAGCATGTGGACGTTCCTAAACGAGAGCCTCCTGTGGTCCCAGAACCTGCGGGTGAGCCTCTCGTAGAGACAGCGGAGGATGCTGACGGTGACATCCAAGTCAGCGATGCCTCGAAGGACCCCTTACCAACACTTGCCGCAGACGAGATCGAGACCTAGGAGTACTTCGCGCGATTAAGTTCATATTTCGGCTGTGACAAGCCAGATGAAGCATAGAATTGTGACCTGCCAACTTTGAAAGGGAGCAATGTGTCTTAAAAGAAATTTTCATGTTGAGTTGAGCGGGCGTTACGGGGACAACAGACTCAAATGTGTATGAAATTAACCAAGCCAATCCATCATATACCCCAAGCGTTGGGATAGAGATGTCTATGCAGATAGATTTTCCTAATGCATAGGCTAAGGGGGTTTACCCATTTTCCATAATATCCAGCAATGGTACTTCGTTCATGTAGCAACCGTTTGAGTGAGTCGGTCTTTCACATTTCTAAAAGCTAGGTAGAATATAAGACATTCACCTCCCCTTAAATACGGGCTTTCTCTTCTCCTGGAAAGCCTTCAAAGCCTCGTCTCTATCTTCCGTATTGACAACTCTCTGGTACATCTCGTTCTCCTTGTCCTCCCGCGCCCAGCTCACAGCCTCCAGGGCAGCCCTCACGGCCACGGGACCTCCCTCGCAGATCTCCTGGGCCAGCCGGACAGCCTCGCTCAGCGCGGACCTGCGCGCCAGCTCGAGGATCTTGGACCCGTCGCTCTCGCCCTCCTCCTCAGGCACGATCTCGACGAGGCGATCCGCGATGCCGAGGAAGTAAGCCTCAGGGGCGGAGACGCGGCGGCCGGTGAGGATCAGGTCGCGGGCGCGGGGGAGGCCGATCAGGGCGGGCAGGCGGAATGTACCCCCAGCTCCTGGGAGGATGCCCAGGCGGGTCTCGGGCAGGCCGACGGTCGCGTTGGAGGTGAGGACGCGGAAGTGGGTGGAGAGGGCGAGCTCGAGGCCGCCGCCGAGGGCGAGGGAGGATATGGCGCTGATGGTCGGGATGGGGAGGGCGGAGAGGGCGGAGAAGGTGCCTCGGAGGTTGGAGAGGAACTCGGCCGTCCTTTTTAAAAGGTCCACAGTTAGTATAAAGATCAAACAGTCATATGCGGGGGGGGGGAAGGTGGAGGGCAGTACTCTTCTTGTGTGAAAGTCCGGCGCTCCTTCAGATCGGCGCCGGCGCAGAAGCATGTGTCGACCGCGCTGGCGATGACGAGGGCGCGGGTGGGACCCTTCTCGTCGACGCCGGCCGCGCCGCCGAAGCGCTTCACGGGGGGGTTCTCCTCGCCATTGGATCCGTACTGGCTGCGGATGCTGTCGACCTCGGCGCCGAGGCGGGCGAGGAGGCCCTTGGAGATTGCGTTCCGGGCGGAGGGGCGGTTGAGCTCGAGGATGCGGATGTGGCCGCTGTTGGGGGCGGGCAGGTTTGTGACGTGGATGAGGGGCGCTGCCTCGGCTGAGTATGCGCGGCGGCAAAGGAGGACTACCCGTCTTGAGGGGACGGAGGGGAGGATTCTGGGAGGCATCTCAAGTGGTGTCCTAAGAGGTCAATTGGGAGAGTTTGGTGTGTATGTTTTACGACGGTTCTAAGATTTTCTCTGGAAGTAGGTATGTTGAAGGGCGACCGGAATTGGTGATGAAGGGTGACGTCGGCTGTGTCTTCGGCTTCCATCGGCGTCTCGTCGCATACTGCCAATGCCGAAGCTACCCTATACTTCCAACTTCCATCACTTGGTACTATTGTCAAAATACACAACTCCTTGATGAACTACTTCATTTCTTTATAGGATAAAGCGCATGATAGTATTATAAATAATGAATTCCTCTTCTCACAAAGCTTAAATTAATATTTCTAGATGCCTAAGTAGAGTTCAGCGAACTAACATTACGGGAGACCATCGGATTCGTACGTCCAACGAATATTTCGTTCTGGGTGACAACATTCACCATTGTGGATAGATAGTTATCGTTTTTGAGAAATAAATCATGTTGATGTTTGATTATTATACCTATTGTCTTATATTGTGTTTGTGATTGTGGTCTACACAATGTCGCCCATGTCACTTGGCTTGCAGATGCTCGTTTGCGACTCAAAATGCTTTGACATTGTAGGAAAATCTATTATGTTGTCTATGTGTCTAATCTAATCTAATTCCCAAACCATATAGTATGTTTGCACAATCTGTCTATCCTGTTAATTGAGAAAATATAAGCATTCTGTTGTGTGTTAGGCTTCTCGACGCCACTTATCCTCATCCTCCCCCTTGCATATTTACTCCGCCGTCTTGGAGGTCTTGGTGCGAAGCTTCATGAGCAGGTATACCAGGGCATACGAGCTGAAGACTAGGAGAGTCACAATCCCGGCGTCTCTCCATCCGTAGTAGTACTCCTTCAGGTTGAGGGAGTACAAGTAGTCCTCTCCCTTGGTGTATGAGCACACCTGGCATCCGGTCGTCGCCTCGGGATTAGCAAGGTGGCTTACGGCTCCCAGCTCGGACTTGAGGTAGTCGACGAGGTATGCCGCACACGTGGTGCCGTTCGGGGGGTCGAACGTGGCAAATTCGCTGGACGAGCACTTCACGTCGGCTCCCCATACATCGAAGACCAACATGCTTCCCATCAGGTAGTTGAAGGGATTCAAATAGTACCTGGTTGGTAGTTAGAAGATGAACGAAAAGAAACAGGAAGGGGCCATGACATACATCCAGTAGCGCCAGAAAGGCTGAATTTGACCATAGGGGACCAGCACTCCGCAGAAAGAGACGAGAGCTCCGATGAGGAGAGGGTTGACCAGAGAAGCGAAGATCTCGTTTGGCGCATACGCCGCGATGAATTGACCGATACCTGTGTACAGGAACTCATACATGAGCATGACAAATAGCGTTGCGCCGGAGCGGTTCGAATCCGATGGGAAGCCGACTGTGTAGTACCAGCAGACGAAGTAGAGCACGCCGCAGATGAGAAGGTACGGAATCTCTGACACGATCAATCCGGTGACGAAGGCAACCCAAGAGTACATCTTGGACTTTTTCTCTCGGGTTTCGAAGATATCGCGACGTCTGATGAAGAGGGGCTGCAATTGATCTGTCCGATAGTTAGCTCTAGTTTTCTTTCATAAGGGGAATGGTGATTTCGTACTCAGCACTCCAGGGGCTACGAAGATGAAGTTGAAAATCGTAAAAAGTTTAAGCTGAAGATCTCCAACGGAGTCTCCAATCATCCAGAACGAAAATCCGTTAAACAAAGCCGAAGAGATGTGAAGCGCGAACTTATTGTTGATGTAGTCGACGTTGCGATACAGCGAGACGTTGGTTCGATGAGTAACGATCTTGACCTGCTCCCACAGGGGCATAGCAAACTCGTAACCATCATCCACAGTACCAGGGGGCTTAGCTGCGGCTTCATCAACGATCCGGTCGACCTCTTTGAGAACAGCATCATGCTCAGGCGATGACATCCAGACACTGTTCCAGTCTTTGCCTTGCGATAAGTGGCCGGAAACGACATCAATCATATGCTCTGCGGGATTCACATGAGGTGGGCAAGGGGCGCCGTAGCGGCCAAAGTACTCTCTAACTGTCTGAGCTTCCTCGCCAATGTCGCCGAAATAGACAGTCTTGCCTCCCTTTGCAAGTAGAAGAAGTGTATCGAATTGCGAGAAGAGTTGCGCGGAAGGCTGGTGAACCGTCACGAGAACGGCCTGACCGGCGGCAGCTAGCTTCTTCAAGAACCGAACTGTATTGAAAGCGGACTGACCGTCCAGACCAGAAGTGGGCTCGTCGAGGAAAATCAAGAGGCTAGGCTTGGCTACGAGCTCAACACCGATAGTGACTCGCTTTCGCTGTTCAACGCTGAGGCCTGCACCGACCTCTCCAATCAGGGTGTCGGCGAGATCGTGGAGTTCAAGAAGGTCAATGATGGTGTTAACGTATGCGATCTTTTCTGCACGGGGGGTTTCTCGGCTCTGTCGCAGGAGGGCGGAAAATTCAAGGGCTTCTCGGACGGTAGTGTACGGCTCATGAACATCAAGCTGCTCACAGTAACCTGCGGATCGTTGGAAGGATACTGGCAAGGGTCGGCCATCAACAAGAATGGAACCGCGAATGGTGCCTTCGGTCTTCCTCTGGGCGAGCACATCGAGCAAGGTTGTCTTTCCAGCACCAGAAGAGCCCATCAAGGCGCCCAACATTCCTGGCTTGACCCATCCTTTAACATTATCCAGCAAGACACGGTCACCATGAGGTGTCTTGACTGTGTAAGACAGATTCTTCCAAGTGAAGACGGAGGTGTTTCGTACTAGGTTTCCCTGGGCTGGTACATCCTCACCGGAGCTACCCGCAGAAGGCTCATCGGTTTCCTGATTGTCCGACGCTTGAGCTTCTACATCACTAGAAGTTGCGGAATGTAGATGGGCATTCTCGCGGGGGATCAACAGACTGGGGCCGTTCTCAGAAGATGACTTCCACCGGCAGGTAGACCATACTGTAATAGCCATGAATAGAGCCCACCAGGCCCAAATGATGCCAAAGTTCCTCCAGACATGAGAGTGCGCGTATGAGAGGGAGCTAAGATAGGCGTCTCCAGTAACAAAGGTTTGGCCAGACACAGCGCCGCCTACTCCGGCGCAACTCTGGTGAGCTGCGTCGGTAAATGAAGGGCCGTTCGGGATGAGGTTATTGCCAACGCAGGGAATAATCGTGTCGTGGAACTCATTGGATAGGAGAGCATCAAAGGCATATGCCAGAGGGCTAGAGGAGGTGTTAGCGATGAAACGGAGATATCGCAAGTAGATAAGGATAGGAGACATACTCGATCCAAAACAGCCACACAAACCATGGGTGCATCTGTGGCTTCTGGATCATGAAGCCCGTGTACATGATAGTGGCTGAAATGATGAGACCGGAGACCTTGGAAGCACCATCAAAGGTGCTGAAGGATGCGCCGATTGCTCTGAACATGGAAGTGATACACTGTGCAGCCTGATAAGTACACGAAGAATAGGAGTCATGGCATATTGAACTTACCAGTGTCGTGGCGAATAGAATAACCCAGTACGTGAAGAAAGCCGCAGCGGTCGTCTTCAACCCAACCATGAAGTACAAGATTAACGAGAAAGTTGACACTTGCACAAAAACAACAGGTATGTCGGCGGCAAATTGGGCGATACAGAAGGCTGAGGGGTGGAAGTAGGCGAAAGACTTGTGCTTCAAAAGAACAGGCCGACCAGTGAAGGAGTCGGTAACTTCCGACATGGACATGAGACTGTTGTGAAGGAGAGAGAAGAACAGAGCACCGGATTTCATGAAGAGTCCGCCAGATGTATTAGGAGCATTGTAGAAAAGAGACCCCGCGATCAGAGCCTGAACAATCGTCAGGCCCTGTTTGAGTATGAAGGTGGCCTTGTCACCGAAGATGAGCTGGTATTGGCGGATGACGCAGGCTGTGACTTGTGCAAAGAATCCGACAGTCATTGCGCTGCTTGCGGGAAGTCTCTTATACTTCTCCTTAACGACACCCTCCTTGAACAGCTTGGTATTCTGCTCTGCCTCTGGCGTGGATGGGTAGTTATACTCTATGGCCATCTTCTCATGAATTGACGACTCCGTGTATTTCTCACGGATGGCATCAGCAGTGCGCGGGAAGTTTTTGCTAAACTCGGGGCTGACTCTGCGTTCCGTAGGTACAGTAACGCCGGTGAGAAAGTCGGCAACGTTGGCTCCTGGGCTGCAGATGAAACCAAGATCCTCCATGAAAGGTCTAGCTTCCTTCATTGGGCCATAATATATCTCTTTTCCGTGGTCAAGAACGAGGACCTTGTCGAACAGATTGTAGATGCCATTGCCAGCTTGGTAGAGGGTGACAATTGAAGCGAGACCTAGAACATCAGTCATGGCTCTCATAGCCTTAGCATACTCCAGGGCCCTATAAAGAGTTAGCTACGGGTCATCGAGTGGCGGCAGATGAGAGAGCGCTTACGTGCTGGCATCAAGACCTCTTGTCGAATTATCCCAGCAGAAAACGCTACCCCTGGAAGCCAAGCACTCGATGATAGAAACTCGTTTTCGCTCTCCACCAGAGACACCACGGACGAATGCATCGCCAACCTTGGTGTCTTCGGTATGTTCGATGCCCATGGACTTCAGAAGGAACTCGAGGGACTCCTTACGGTGGTCCTCATGGTTGTCGACTCCCTGTGGAAGATGGAACGGCACCTTCAGTCGAGTTGCAAAGTCCATAGTCTGCTGAACAGTCAGAGTTGGGAAGAAGAGTTCTTCCTCTGTGTTCATGACAATCTGCCCTCTGTAGTTTTTCGCCTGATCGGCTGGCATGCTGCCGTAGTGGACATCACCAGAGACGCCGGCGTAGCCCCTACGCTTGTTCGCTAGAACATTGAGCAGGGTGGTGCAGCCAGAACCAGGTCGGCCCAACACCAGCAACATCTCGCCGGGCTTAACACAACCATGGCTTGAGTCTAGGATCTTCCTTAAGGGTGGCTTGTGGCGAGACTCCCGGATGAGCTTGGGAATGTTGAACTGTGAGACGACATTTTCGTGGATGGCTGCATCGACAGTGACAGCTTCGACGGTTAGATTTTGCCATGTAACGCCCAATTCGCGTGGAGGAAATCCTGAAGCTCGATCTCGGTCTCTATTAGCGACGACCCTGGGTTTCAGATCCCATTCCTCAGGATCTACATGCTCATCCCGGATGGAGAGCTCGTTGGCAGTGATAGAGCCTTCCTCACTGCCGCCCATGATGAAAATGGGTTTGCGGACTAGATGATTGGAAACTTATGCTCGCATATAGTTGAATCGATGAAGAGAAGAAGAGAAATTGGTGAAGGGTCAACAATCAAGGAAGACACAGATCTTGCCAGGGAGCTGGACTCCGAACACTACACAATGATCGGAGAACGTCATGGTGAAGACAAGAAAGAGCATTTGCTTTAGTATTTAAGGAACGAAGTACGGATATTCGGATAGACCAGAAACTCTGCTACAGTGGTAGAAGGTTCCGAACCTGCGGATCAATCCATCTGAGTGGATATATCTTGCAGATGAGGGTTGTCGCATCTCGGGGCTCAATGAGATAGCGACTCATTACATCTCTAAGAGGAAACAAAGCTTGTAAGGCACGATTTTGGACCAATCGTAGACCCAGAAGCTCCTTGTATTGCGGCCCGTCCGTTTCCCAAAGATCCGGGCGGGATGTCATCGGCGGTCGTGACGGGGGTAATCTGGCTCGAAAACCCCGCTTACTCATCGGTGTTCCAGACTTTCTCCCGCAATTTGGCGTAGATGAATCATGATAGATGTCTCAACAGACCAATCTCCTGACGGGAGGTCCCGTTGGTGAGATCCACTGCGACGGCGTAATACCGCCGGTTGAGGCATCGGTTGATATTGGCTGTGGGGTCTGGCGGGCTCTTTGTCTCGTTTTGATGGAGATTTTGTGTCAGACCCGCTTAGTCAGCGGTATTCGTTGCTTTTGTTGGCAGCGGAAGGTCCAAGGGGAGGCTCTGTGCCACAACGACGACATCAACAACTCGGCCTTCGGACTTCTTTCATGAGGTTATCGCGTTGGATTTTGGCTGGAAGAGCTTATTAACATATCGGCTTCGTCCTCGGGCTTTGTCATCCGGATATTATGTACCACCGAAGCCGTAACATCGTATCCCAGTTCTGATTGAGACCGAGCCCGAAGGGTCCGCCTCAAACCCAGTCTGAGCAGCAAGAACAATCAAAGTGTCCTCATACATGGAACATCTGCAGCATCATGGCAAAGCAAAGACGAGCCTGTGACGGGTGCCACAAGCGAAAGGTAGGTGGTTCTGAATCATCGCTCCAGTCGCATCCCAAACCGATGCCGCAACCTTGGCGTAGATCAGATCGATCCCCTTTCCCCTTGGCTTGTCAATAGTATATTGAAGCTAACACGTGGTTGTTACCTCATTTATAGATACAGTGTGACCTGTCCGAATCGGGGCCCAAATGTAATTGGTGCACCCACCGTGGTGTGTTTGCCTCCATGCTTGCCTACCCACTCTGGGTCTTGGGCGTACCCATCTAACCGTCCGATGTGTAGGTCTGCCATGCACCTTTACTCGTCTGAAGAAGACGGAAAGTCAAAGGTGAGGCCGCACCCCCTTCTTTGGATGGCGAACCATGGTGGCCTTCCATGTTGTGTACATGGGTTGTCCTGGGGCACAGACCAAACGTATGTTGCTAACTTCCGGCAAGACCAAAGAAGAAAGGCAGCCGAGACAACATATCCAAGCGTATTGAGCGTATAGAGGAGTTCATTGCCCAAAATGGATCTGTCTCCGAGGGACAGAGTACCGCAAGCCCTTCAGATGCTTCAGATACTGGCAACCCACCCCAGCCATCAGCGATGGGCATCGAGGAGCATCAGTCCGTTTCAACACCAAGCAATGATCCAAGTTCAAGTTTGAATAGAGGACCTATGCCTGGTCGATCGGCTTGTGGCCAAATATATTTTGCCGGTTGCTATCTTGGAACTATTGACTCCCCTGACCGGATCCCAGCTTTCTCGGCCGAGGGATTAGAATGGATTTTTTCTGCAACAGGAGAATATCCGTCCTTTTCCAAAAAGGCAACTGAAGGTCACGGAAGTTCCAAACAACCTTACCATGCTCCCATGTACTCATCCGATGATCATCCCAACGGACGGGAACGATTCCCAGACCTGTGGATAACACAGGCCTTTGTTAGGGAATTCATGGAGTCCAGTATCAGACATGTATTTCCGATTATCGACGAAGTGCTCTTTGAAAGAACAATCGAGATCGCATATGGGCCCGAGCCCGGGCCAAATTCCTCCGAGTATCTATCTTCGCGAGCTAGTGTTCTGGCTTTTGTTTCTTTAATGAGTTTCCAATTCTCGACCATCCCAGCGGCGGCCCACATTGACAGATTGGAGTGTATGACTTGGGCTCAGTCACTTATCGGCAGGTGCCTCAATTTTCCAAGCTTAACAACGTTGCAGACGCTTGTCTCACTGGTATGTCAATCGAACCAACTACCGTGACTATGGTTAACATTGAATTCTCTTAGCAACTGAACAGCATGGTCTTGGGACACATGCAAGCAGGTGTAATGTTTCATGGCATGGCTTGCCGCACGACTTGTACTCTTGGAGCTCATACTATCGTTCCATCGCCGCCCTTGGGTCGACCCTTGACAGTCCCGGAGCGAATTGAGGAACAACAACGAAAATTATTCTGGCTTTGCTACATCTTCGATAAGAATCTTGCCCTACGAACAGGCCAACCGCCAAGCTTGTGGGATGAGTTTTGTGACCTTACACTGCCCCCTGAATACGTCAAAGGTCGATTTGGCGTCCCGGAATACGAACATCTCATTCGAGCTCCATATCCAGTCCTCTTTGGAGACATCCGTCTTAGTCTTATCAAGTCCAAGGTATCCAGGGAGCTGTACTCTATTCAATCTCTGCGCAAGTCCAATGCCGAGCTTCTGCAATCCATCCGAGAGCTTGATGAGGAACTTGAGAGTTGGCGCTCGTCGCTACCGAGAAATTTCAAACCGAGAGTTTCATTGTCACCTCACTACGAGAAATGGCTGTCGGACATGGAATTTGCGAGATCCGTTCAGCACATCGAGCTCCATCTTGAATACCACCATCTGGTAGCTTCAATTCACGGCGCAAGCGGTAGATGCTTCAAAAATGATCGAATTGATCCTAAAATCATTGGACTCCAGTCAAGTCTAGATCTGGCTGTTGAGGCTAGTCGGACAACTATTATCTATCTAAGTGTGGCGATTGATTCACTTCCACGGGAAGCGTTTTGGTAAGTATTTACTTTGAAAGGATACAGTCAAATCAAGGGAACTGACACAGTGTGAAGGGCGTTTCTCTTTCATCCCATGTCTGCTCTGATTACATTATTCTTTAACATCTTGAGAGACCCGCTAGCAGCTGAGGCAGAAAGCGACACCAGCCTCATCTGCACAGCTGGCGACCTAATCAAAAGGCTGCCATCACATCAATTGCTTAGGCTGCACGAGACATCATTCATAGAGAACCTGGGTGCATTTGTTGCTGAACTAAGCCGCCTTGCAGCAAAAGCCATCACCAAGGCTCGGAACGAACGTGTTGGATGAGCTGCGGTGCCTTAGTCTCTGATAATATCCAGCCTTAGCGGGACGTACGGCCAACAGATTTGATCTTGTACTAAACCTGACCCTCCTTGTCTCGGGCCGAAACTGCCACCCTACAACTTTCGAGGGTATTTCACTACACCATATTGATGGAGGCGGGAGAGGATTTAACAACATATGCGGAGAGTCGCGTACAGGTCCTCTCGAGTCTGCTTGATGAGAAGCGCTGCGATGAACTAACTACTCAAAGCCATTAACAGGCTACTTAGGAAATGCCTCCGAGAACCTTGGACTGCCTGCGCCGGAGAGTGCGACTACGTAGGGCTCTGTTGTGGCTTCGCCGAGGAGAGAGCCGTTTAGTTTGCCTCACTAAGAATATACGTGGCACCGCAAGAGAGCAGCACAACCGGTTCTCGTCGCGAGGACAGTCGGTCACCATCCATCAGTCATTTGCCGGCCTCCAATACCCATGCGGCCAAGTTTCGTATAGCAGAAACGAGACTAGTTGCTTAATAGCCTAGAATGACTTAAGGCTGTGAATTATGCGTATGAGCTATTGGACCACACGCACGGAACGTGGGTGACTTGCACGGCGGCATGAGTCAACTCGGTGAAAGCGCTATCTGCCCTTGCTGTCAGCCGCAGTGGGGAAATCTTCGACTGATTCTACAGACTTCCATCTACACCTCCAAGTATACGGAAAACGATGATGAGGATTAAATAGATTAAATAGATCATGAAAGTGCTTTAACATGGCGAAATGTATACAGACTCGAGCAGCCATACCAAGAACAGGAATTGAATTACCTTAGTCATCTTGACCCCGATCGCCACCCGAAGAGCAAAGCAAGTCTTCACCAACCAAACCAGCACTAAATCAAATCAAACCCGCCAGCTCAACCATGTCCGATTCGGAGGAAAGCAACATTAATCACGCCGTCTTCCGGGACTGCCTCTCCACCACCCTCATCCGGACCGAATCCGTTGGCCTCCCGGAGCGGAAGCGCCGGAGACGAGCCAAGGGTAGCAATCACGCGAATGAGACGGCAGCTGCCCCGGTCTCACGGGACTTCAGACAAGACGCGGAGGAGCTTGCCGAGTTCATCGACTACTTGGCGACCGAGATCTTTGAAAACCTTCCAGACGAGATCAGAGACCTCGATTACCGGACATGGCGAGAATCAGAGGCACTACAGGCTGAATACTCGTTCCCTCTGACGGCGAGCAGCCTTTCACACCTCAACCTACCCCCGTCTATCTCGGAGACGCTACAAACATACAACCTTATCTCTCCGGACCCCACGCTAGACTCGCCTTTGCCTGCTACTGTGGAGGTCTTCCTCATTCCCATCCTGACCGCCTACATCACCTCGCGCATCGCGCCCCCACCGGCCTCGACGGCCTCACGCACTGACGCCTGCGAAATCTGCGAGCGGTCCTGGATCCCTCTGTCGTACCACCACCTGATCCCGCGCTTCGTCCACGACAAGGTGGTCAAGCGGGGCTGGCACAGCAAAGAAGACCTGCAGAACGTGGCGTGGCTGTGCGGTGCCTGCCACAGGTTCGTGCACCACTTCAAGAAGCACGAGGAGCTGGCTAGGTACTATTACACCGTTGATCTGCTGCTGGAGGAGGAGGAAGTGCAGAAGTGGGCAGCTTGGGTAGGGAAGCTGAGGTGGAAGGGCGGGAACACAGTCAGAAGGGCCCGATAGACAGTCTTAGCGATACCGAAGCCGACTCATTACTCAATTGAAATAATGGCTTCGACTACACAAAGTTCCATGCCAACGCACGTGAAACAGGAAGGCGGCCAAGGTTCTGGAAAGCGTTTCAAGCCGCGTGAAGGGAAGGACAAGGTTATCTTCTAGTGCGGCATATTCGTGGACGGCTTGTGGATCGGCGGACCCTTTGTTGTCATCCCTCTTTATTCTGTGGTTCGTTTTAAGATTCTCGGCCCTCTCCACTAGTCAATCAATTCCTTCTTTGCCTGCTCTGGCATTGCCCCTTCAGGCAGGTTCAGAGGGTGCAGTGTCGATGCGCCCAGAGGACAAGACGCAGCTCATGTCAGCAACCCCTGCCTCCTTCTGAAACAGCACGCAGTGTGCCCTTATCCGGGACTGTCACTGGCTCCTGTGACGCCAGACCCAATCTCCTCGGGCGTTTAAGCTTACCCTTATTTGTGTGGTGGCGTGTAAGATGGGGGCCGACTTTGGACCCCGTCTTACCTTGTGAATGGGTACATCAGGGTTAGATGGGCTTTTGCGGAATGAGAGGGCTCGGGACGATGGTCGAATGAGGCAGGCCTATCTGAGATCGACTTCTCCGACATACCCATCCCCCGCGCTTGATTGGCATTGACCCAGATGGCGTGGCTGCAGCGGTGTCCCTTGGGTCATATCCCCCACTGCCAGTGAATGGAATGTGTGGGATCATGAGCGCGTGGCCGCAAGTGGGCGGGTACTTTGATTGGAAATGGGTGATAAATAAGGCAAGCTGTCGTTGTTTCTCCTAGCCTGTCTCCCTCTTTCGTTTCTCCAGCAGTCTTCACAGCCGACTCGCCGTTTATCCAGAATGAAGTTCCTCGCCGCCGTCATCTCGCTCGCCACTGTGGCCGTTGCCAGTGTCGTAAGTTGCTTTAGCCTTTGAATTGAAGCCCAATTCATTCGTTCGTTGGAGTTAACGGTATCTCTCAATAGCCTGGCATCCCCTCTGAGGCAACCGCCAGATCTCTCCTGTCCGAGTTGGCAGTTGCGCCGTCAGTTGACAATGGTGGCTACTCTCGCGAGCTTTTCCCTCACTGGAAGGCTGTGTCTGGCGAGGCTGAATGCTCCGCTCGGTATGTATTTTCTCTCGTCTCATTCTCTAGAGGCGGCATCTCTGCCCCTGTCCTCTGTACCACAGTCAAGTGACGTCGCTGACGGGTTCCGACAGCGAGTATGTGCTACGACGTGATGGGAACAACGTCGTAACGGGTAGTGACTGCTATCCCACCAGTGGAAGCTGGACATGCCCATTCGACGGCAAGACTCACACCGTCCCGAGTCAAGTTTCGATCGACCACATGGTCCCCTTGAAGAATGCCTGGATTGTGAGTCTACTACACCTCAAACAGCTCGTCCCCATTGCGCATCTTGACTGACCTGTCTCCGTAAATAGTCTGGCGCCTCAAGCTGGACCACCACCCAGCGTCAGGCTTTCGCCAACGACATCAAGGGCCCTCAGCTCTGGGCTGTCACTACCACCACCAACTCCCAGAAGGGCGACAAGAGCCCTGACAGCTGGAAGCCTGCTCTGACCGGTATTCACTGTGACTATGCTGCGGCTTGGGTCCAGGTCAAGAGCAGCTACAGCCTTACTGTCACTGCTGCCGAGAAGTCTGCCCTTGAGAGCATGCTAGACTCTTGCTAGATGGGGAGAGGGAGTTGGGAGAAGACCCTGCAGTGGTCACTTCCAAATAGGCCGTAGGAAGTATGCTTACAACATGGCCTATCCCAAGACCATCTAGTCAGTTGCCAGTGATTAAACATACTGAAAGAACAAATTCTCTACATACCAATGATACCCCTATGACCGGGAAACCTCATCATACCTTGTTCTACAGATCATTTGAACCTGTTTGCCAGCTCCAGCACTCAAAAATTTTCAGTGATACCTTCCCTGCCTTGGGGAAATTCTGTGTGTGGTGGTGTGACCTTCCAGCAGTTGCTGTTAATCAGATGCGGACTGAACGAGTGTGATTCACTGCACAACTCACACGCGGGCCTCCCGTGTTGCCGAATCGTGCTCTCATACTTCCTCACCTCCGCACACTTCTCTTATTTTTCTTCCTCTACGAACACAAACTCACTACAGCCTTCCAACCAAATCAGCCCATCTTGACTGCCAGCTTTCAATAGCATCCGAAACGATGTTACTCATCGCCAAACTTCTCATCCTGCTATGCACAAGTGCATTCGGCTATTCCCACCCGCTCGCAAATTGTGATATGTCGGATGGAGCTCATTGTATGGACCCTTTAAGAATTTATTGGGAGTATTTGGCTAGTTTCACCACTGACTTCCAACCAGACTGTTCACCAAGCCTGGGACTGGCTCGGAATTTCAGCTTCGACTTCGTCTGTGCCTTCAAAGATGCTGACTTATCTACGTATTGGGCGAAGGACCAGACTTCGTCCCAGCATCAGCGTCTCATAAACCTCGACACCAACGGGAAGGGTGCTGCGCTTGGCATCTGGGAACCTGGCCATGCCCCATCCCTGTCTACGCAGCACTACGTTTTCTTTGGTAAAGTCAGCGTCGAACTACTAGCTGCCTCTGGTCAAGGAGTTGCATCAAGTATCGTGCTAAAATCAGATTCTGGAAACGAAATTTCATGGGTGGGTTTCTCGCGTTTTTTATCAGTAGCATCAGCTCACATGAGTTTAGGACATTCTTGGAACGCATGACAACCAAGTACAAGCGAACTACCTGTTTCATGGTGGTACCGATGGCAAAGTATACAATCAAACATTCCCCGTCGACTCGTCTATTTTCACTGCATTCCACACATATTCGATTGAGTGGACGCAGTACAAAATCGCGTTTTCCATCGACGGACACGAAGTTCTTACCTGGTACGTCGGCGACGTCCCCCCAGAGAAGTGGCCCCAAACCCCTATGAAACTTCACATCGGCACGTGGATTCCAGACCAAAACCGCGAAGGAAACAGCCTCGCTCGATCGGCTAGAGGACCGCCCAGCTGGGAGCACGCGCCTTTCACGGCGTTCTTCAGGAAGGTCGAAATCAACGATTTCGCCGGATTGTGCCTCGAGGTTGACGGTCCAGTGGAATACGTCGTCGACGATGGTATCAGAGGATGGGAAGACGTGAAAGTCAAGGGCTGCTACAAGAGGTTCTCGTCCGGGATGTACATCCCCCATGCGGGCTTCCAGGTCCCAACCTCTCGGCCTGTGGAGGCACCCACGGCCTCTTCGGGGGGCAGCAGTCTCTTATCGAGCGGAGTTGGCAGGCCTACGGACTCAGGATCGAAGACAACTGATGGTGCTCCGGAGAGGACCAACGCTGAGGCTGAAGGAGAGGCGGCGGTGGTTTCATGGCCGCACACGCACAGGCTCGCTGCTGTGGTCTTCCTCGTGTGGCTGCTACTGTCTTGGTAGTTCTCACCGGCTTCACAAAAAAATGAAATTTCTTTTCTTTAACAAACCGGATGGTTATTTTGTTTTCAAATATCCAGTACTTGCATGGGGGCTATTTGGTGTGGGGAAAAGTGCATCCGGCGTAGGTTATGGCTTACACCGCGTCTACCTTTTTCTTGACTCCCAAAGCAAGAAACACATGGGCAACTCCCATCAGCGGGTCAATATCTACGTGCTGGCGGAAGAATGATTCCTTTTGTTACATCATCTCGCAAGTGAGTTGAAATGCGTTGGTCGTGGAGTTCGTGTACCGGGTCAAGCAGGATACGGTTTTCCGAATGCTGTCAACCAAGAGATACTTGGCAGTGGGATAGTCCTATTTGACTTAGTTTCTTCCTAATAAATAGCAGGATTCGAAAGGTCTCGTGTGAAATGGGATGGTTAAAATGACAATCGCTTTCATTCGCACCCCTTACCGCTCGTGACTACCAGAATAGAACTCCTCGACAGTAACAAACCATGACGAGCAAAGTCGCAATTATCACCGGGGGCTGCTCAGGCATGGGCCTCGAGACGGCGAATCGCCTCGCCCAGACTGGGAAGTGGAAGCTTCACTTGCTTGATTTTAATCCAGCGGCAGCCAAGACCGCTCTCGAGGCTATTCCCGGAGCAAAGGTGCACCATGTGAACGTGACCTCATATGATAATCTCGCCTCTGTGTTCCAGTCAGTGTTCGACGCAGAGGGCCAGATTGACTTCGTTTTTGCCAACGCTGGCATTGTGGAGAGACACAGTTTCTATGAGAAACAGACGACGCAAGGATCGCAGCCTCCTCCAGCTCCGAATACGCTGACGCTCGACATCAACCTCACTGCCGTAATCTCTACCACGTACCTGGCTTTACACTATTTCAGGCTGAGCCCCCACAAGGGGCAGGGTGCCTCCATTGTCATGACGGCAAGTTGTGGTGGTCTAGTAAGTCATGATCACAAGATAGGCGGAAGACGAGAACGTATAGGCGCTGACTTTACCTGACCAGTACCCCAGTGAATATACGCCAGTGTACTCGGCATCCAAAGCCGGCGTAGTGCACTTCGTGCGCAGCATAGCATACTCGTTCCACCAAGAGGGGATCCGGGCGTACGCCATCTGCCCCGGGACGGTGCGGACAAATCTTCTTCTGGCCGACGAGTGGAAGTCATTCCCTGGGGAATACTTCACCCCCATTTCCAAGATCGCCGAGACGGTGGAGATGCTGGTCAATGGCGGGAACATGCAGGACTCGGCCGGGAAGAAGGTCACTGACGATGATAACTATGGGCTGGCGGTGGAGGTGAACGGGAAGAACCATTACTTCAGGGACCAGATGCCGTTTTGCGATGAGGCGATGAAACAGGTGATGACGGCAACGAGCATGAAGAATCAGCAGGCGGTGTTTGATGAGGTGAAGAAAAGGGAAGCGGCGGGAAGGGCCAAGTTGTAATGACAAGATGATATTTTAGCGTTCATGTCTTGGTTAAAGCGTATTCTTCACTGTTGCTCTTCCATTTCTATTTTGAGAATGCCATCCCCTTGATTAGGTAAAATATTCTTCTGCAGGGTAAGATGCAGGTACCTTGATGAGGGCAGGCAGTCACGATCGAGATCAATTGCCTGATTAGTGGGTGACACAATAGTCTTTTTGTCGCCCTTGCGTGGGGACTGTCCTGGAACGGCGAGAGCTCCAGCGACCTGCAGCGCTGACTGGCTGCTTAGTGTTCGGTTCGGTCGCCTCCACTGATCCGGAAACACGCGATGATTCACCTGGCTTACCTAACCTGCTCCCAAGAAATTACAACATTGGACCGTCCAGAGCTCCTGCAATTGGCGCCCAAGCTCGTGGTCGTTGCACTTACCCTTTGGCAGCATTATGCGATTTGAATTATCGTTATGAACTCATCCAAATGGCGCATCTCCAAAGCGTGCCACGAGTGCCGTGCACGAAAGGTCAGGTGCAACGGCCAGACTCCTTGTGAGCGCTGCAAGACCAGAGGCATCGATTGTGTTTATCGGGAGAAGGCGCGCATACGCCAAAAGGCGAGTCAACGGAATGCGTTGAATGGGGCTGCGGTCGCGAAACCCCCGACTTTCGTACCTGCGCGCTCAACGGTTCCTGTGTCTCAAAATCAAGACGATGGCGCCGATGATCTTGAGTCGGAAGCTTCACCCGGCGCCGGCGGCGAGAGCAACTACAACGTCCATAGCGTTGCCGCGACCCATGAGGCATCGCCTTCTTGTCTGATTCAGCTGTACTATGGACCCTCGTCCAACTTTTCTCTCCTGCATTCCATCTATCACCAGATCGAGGGGACGGTACCGAGCACGCCGTCGCGGCAGGGCGTGGAGGAAGTTGGTCCCGGGCTGGATCTATTTAGCCATCGACGCTTGTTCTTTGGTGACCTGGCCGACACAAACCCGCCTTTACTGAGGTCAGATGACTTTACCGGGATCCTGCTTTCCCCAGCCACTGCGCAGACCTTGTTGGAGAGGTATCTTGATACCTATTGGCATGCGCTACCCTTCATGTCCAAGGAAGAGCATCGCACAAAGCTGGACGAGATGTTTCGCCCCCCAGGAGTGTTCGGATACGACTCCCCGGAATGTATCATCATCCTCCTGGGTATTTCATTGGGAGCTTATATGCTGGGACAGCACACTGTCTCTGAGTTTCTGTATCAAAAGTCCAGGCAAGGTTCAGAGAAGCTGGAGGAAGTGGTCAATGTCCAGATGGTGCAAGTTTACACCATGATGATAAGTATATACCAGTCCCTGGATCCTGAATTTTGACTAACTTGCTTGGCAAGCCATTCTACAAATCGAGAGAGCTCGTCCGAACTCATCTTTTCTCCATCTTGGGTCTGCTGTGCGTCGCGCCTTGGCTATTGGACTGCATAAGGAAGCCATCGCCAGGGGTGGAGAGACCCGGCAGGACATGGAGCAGAAAAGAACTACATTCTGGAGTCTGTTCTTCTGGGAAACGTATGTTAAAAGACTTTCTGATCCTTCACACAATCCTTACCTTGATTCTAATCTGCGTTTAATTCAGCTGGATTTGTTTCATGATTGGCCGACCGAACTCTATCGTCGACCCGGGAACCGCCGTTCCCATGCCGAAGAAGCAGAAGTTTCTGAAATCCATGGTCACGCTATCACGGATCATGGCAAAGTGTACGAATCAGATCTATACCCCACGGCATGATTCGCTTATGCCGATGTGGAACGCGGCCAACGAGATCCGTGAACAGTTGCACCGATTTGCAGAGTGTCAACCCCGGGATATGGGATTCGAGCTGGTCGGCCATACAAAGCCTGGTGAGGAGGGATTCTGTCAAACATTACTTTCGTCTAGTGAGTTTACCCAGCCTGTATCGTGTGTATTTGCTTGCTCACCGGTGATGCTCACGTGTACAGCATACCATCAAACACTACTCCTCACGTTTCGACCTTTCCTCATCTTGCGGGGCAAGTTGAGAAGACAGGGGAAATCTCCCGGAACTCCCAGATCTGCCGAGAAGCGACCTGCGGCCCCACCACCCTGGTTTGATAAGGCATGCCAGATCTGCCTGGACACCGCTAAAAGCACAATTAATAATATGGCAAATGCCTTGCATACCAATGAGCTTTGCAAGGTAAGCTTCCCTTGTTCCCCGACGAGGCCAAGAAGACTCACTCTCTGACCCCCATCTCATAGGGTGTCAAGTATCAAAATTATTTCGTTGAGGGTGCTTGCTACGTATTAGCACTAGACTTACTCCAAGAACCCTATGGATCTAACCGAGATCTAAGATGCATCCGCACTGGGCTCAGATGCCTTCAGGCATTGCTTCCTAACATTCCGGGAAATAACACGCAGACCCCTACTACCATCGCCGCTATTGTCCGCATGGTACGGTGCGTGGTACCTGACTTTGAGATAGCCAACGAGGCTGGCCCGGATATGGGACTTGGTCTGTGGGGGCAGAACTCGCCGTCGATTGTGCCTGACCCAACGACGCCGATGACCAATGTCACCACAGCATTTGCTTATCCTTCGATGCCGCTATCCTCAGACTTTGCTCCGTTAGGTCCGAATGACGCGTTCCCAGGAGGCTTCTCCGACTTTACAGCTGCCGACCTGGGTCTCAATTTCGACTTTGGCACTATGGATATGGATGCCTTCCTATCAATCGACACGAATCCAGCCTGGGACTTGAAATAATGGAAATAATTGCCTGTCTTGCCTATATCCGATTCAACGTGGAGCAGTCATCTTGGGGAGTTTGGGATTCATTGGACATATACCACGTAATACCGTCCATCCGCGCTGTCTTGCCGACCCCGGCGGTACCGCACGAAACGGTTTAGCAGCGTTCTCATTTGTATCGGATTTCCGCTAGTGGTAGTTTTTTGTAATATGCCAGGAGCAAGTGGCACTGCTTTGAGTAAGTTCGCCCGGCACTGATGGAAATACGGAGTAACGGATATAGAGGAGTTGTACCGGATTGCCGCCTTCATTGAAGGTCTTGATATAATATATATGGGAAGAGTCCAATTGTAAGCGTAGAAGAAAAAGAAGCGAGCACCAGTAAAGCTTTGAAGCATCTTGTAGAGGCATTCTCGAGAATATCTAGACCACTAGATCTTGGTGCACGTAAAAATGGGGATGCCACGAGCTGAGGAGGGTGGTTCCCCTGCCATGAACGAGGTGCCAGCAACCAGTCAGGAGAGCACAACGGCTACATCATCATCTTCTTCTAGCGATACTGAGAATCAAGAGAATGCTCTCGAGGAGGTTAAAAGCCGGGATTTCGTCCCAAAACGGTTAACCCTCTCGTTCAAGGACTTGACTGTCCGGGTGACAGCCTCCAGCGAAGCTTTGGGAGAAACTCTTTGGTCAAGAGTTGATCCTAGTCAACTCAAGTCAATTTTCACAAGGAAAACACCACAAAGAGTGAGTTAATTTGCCCTTTATCTCGATTTTGTTACTGATACATTATGGCAGGCTATTTTGAACAATGTCACTGGCCAAGTTCGTCCAGGAGAAATGGTATGTATCCAGACTTATGCAATTAGTCACTTGACTAGCTAGGTACTAACCCATAACAGCTTCTTGTATTAGGTCGCCCTGGATCTGGATGTACATCTCTTCTTCGTGTTCTCTCAAATGATCGAGGATCTTTCCCCGAGGTGACAGGTGAGATGTACTATGGAAGCATGAATCACAAGGAGGCTCGAAAGTTTCGTCAACAGATCGTGTTGAACACTGAAGGTTGGTTCCTTCTAGAAATTATTGAATTATATAATATGCTAAATAACTCGGTAGATGATATTCACTTCCCCACGTTGACCGTCAACCAAACTTTGAAGTTTGCTCTGAGGAATAAGGTCCCTCGGAAGAGGCCAGAGGACTTGGAAAAGAAACATAGCTTTGTCCAGCATATGCGAGATAACATCCTGGGATCTTTGGGCATTGACCATACCCGGAAAACCCGAGTTGGGAATGAGTTCATCCGAGGTGTCTCTGGAGGCGAAAGGAAACGCGTTTCCCTTGCCGAGATGATGGCTAGTCAGGTTGGTCTTCAAGTTTCAGATGAGAAGTCCTAACATAGAGCTAATTTCAAGTATCTAGGCTCCTGTGCAATTCTGGGATCAACCGACTCGAGGACTTGATTCCAAGGGCGCCTTGGAATTTGCCCGAAACCTGCGTCAGCAGGCCGATGAGTTTGACAAGACCATCGTCTTGACAACCTACCAGGCCGGAAATGGGATTTTCGGCCAGTTCGATAAAGTTCTGGTGCTCGCAAGTGGACGTGTGATTTACTACGGGCCTCGTGTTTCCGCCAGGGCGTATTTTGAGAACCTTGGATTCGTCTGCCCCAAAGGCGCAAACATTGCCGACTTTCTGACATCCGTCACTGTCAACACGGAGCGTACCATTGCGGCAGGCTTCGAAGGCCGGGTTCCAGACACTCCTGAGGATTTTGAGGCGTCTTACCAACAGAGCGAGCTGTGTCGACACATGCGCGAAACCTCTCAGTCTCCAAGTGACCTTGAAAGTGAAGCTGAGGACCTTGAAGCTGCTGTGTTGAGAGAGAAAAGGCAGAGAAAGTTTATGGTTGGCCCCCGAGGAGTTTACACTGCTGGCATGAAGGAGCAGATCGCCAACGCAACAATCCGGTAAGCCAATACTCCATTCGCCCATTCACCCATGATCTTTGAATGAAATCTGACTGAATCTTTACTTGTAGACAATATCAGATCATGACCGGAGACAAGCTTTCGTTTGCTATCAAAATTGTATCGGCTACCATACAGGCCCTGGTGGCTGGCAGCCTTTTCTACAACCTACCTAATACCAGCGAATCGGTCTTCCGCCGACCCGGTCTCCTGTTCTTCCCTGTTCTATACTTCCTATTGGAAGGCCTGGCCGAGACGACGGCTTCTTTCGCCGGGCGCCCTATTCTACTTCGACACAAAAGATTCGGCTACTACAGACCGACGGCTTTTTGCATTGCTAACGCAATCATGGATATACCTATTGTTCTTATACAGGTGACATGTTTCTCGCTGATCCTCTACTTCATGGGCGGAATGCAAGAAGACGCGGGCAAGTTCTTCACTTTTTGGATCGTTGTAGTTGCGAACACGCTTTGCTTTGGGCAGATGTTCCGGGCTATCGGTGCCATCTTTGATCATTTCGGCACGGCTAGTTTCATCTCTGGCCTGGTTTCTACCATCTTCTTTGTCTATGGAGGTATGTTGTTGAATCATCACCTGTGCATTATGGAGACCAGACGTGTGACTAACGCCGAGAAGGATATCTAATCCCGTTTCAGAAGATGCGTCCATGGTTCCGATGGATATTCTATCTTAACCCAGGTGCGTATGCCTTTGAGGCACTGGTAGCCAATGAGTTTGACGGGCTCGATCTTGAATGTGTGGCGCCCCAGTACGTCCCATTTGGACAAGGTTACGACACCGGCAGCTCCCAATATAGAGGATGCACTGTTCCGGGAAGCAACGGCTCGACCGTGAACGGCATTGATCATCTTGCGCAGCAGTACAGTTACTCCGTCGGCCATATTTGGAGAGGCTTTGGTGTTATCATGGGATTCTGGATATTCTTCATCGCCGTCACTGCTGTGGCCTTTGAGTTCAAGAACAGCCACAAGGGATCATCTGTCTTGCTCTTTAAACGGTCCTTCCGTAGAAATAAGGCCCAGTTGGATGAAGAGAAGGGGCCAAATAGATCTGCCGATTCGTCAGCGGTTCTGGCCCAATCTAACCGTCAGTCCATTTTCACTTGGAAGGATCTTGACTACTATGTCAAGTACCAAGGGGCCCAGAAACAGCTTCTGAACAAGACGTTTGGGTATGTCAAGCCAGGGAATCTCGTGGCTTTGATGGGAGCTTCGGGTGCAGGTAAAACTACGTGAGTAGGCCACCGTCTCCTGTTCGGATTACTTGGTACTGACAGCCACTAGGTTGTTGGATGTTCTGGCGCAACGAAAGGACTCAGGAGATATATTTGGTTCCATCTTGATTGACGGAAAGCCACAGAGCATCTCTTTCCAGAGAATGACCGGATACTGTGAGCAGATGGATGTCCACGAAGCCACAGCTACGGTGAAGGAAGCCCTCGTCTTCTCCGCTGTTCTACGACAACCACAACACGTTCCATATGCCGAGAAGATTGACTATGTGAATCGCATTATTGAACTTCTCGAGCTCGAAGATATTTGCGATGCCATCATTGGAGGTTAGTTTGGCGGATGGAGTTACCCCTTCTAGGATATTCAACTGACATCCATATTAGTCCCGGGCGCTGGGCTAGGAATCGAACAGAGGAAGCGAGTTACACTCGGTGTTGAGCTCGTTGCAAAGCCATCTCTCCTATTCTTGGATGAGCCAACCTCTGGACTTGATGGACAATCCGCGTATAACATTATCCGATTTTTGCGCAAGTTGGTGGATGGTGGTCAGGCAGTATTGTGTACCATTCACCAACCCTCTGCAGTACTATTCGAGGCCTTTGACTCGGTCTTGTTGTTGGCTAAGGGCGGACGGATGACATACTTTGGCGAAAGTAAGACTTCCTCCCACCTTCCATAACTATCTTCCTCTGGTATGCTAAAATCTTACAGCCGGAACCGATTCCAAGACCCTCCTTGATTATTTTGCCCGGAACGGAGCCCCTTGCGAGGAAGGTGTTAACCCAGCAGAACACATTGTCGAGTCTATCCAAGGGAACACGGCAGTTCCCATCGATTGGGTCGACGTTTGGAGCAAATCCCCAGAGAGAACTAGAGCTCTCGAAACCTTGGAAGGCTTGAACAGCAAGGCTCTCGCCGCGACAGCATCGCTGCCGGAGGACAACGCCAGCTTTGCCACTTCCAAGTTCTTCCAGTTCAAGACGGTGTTGCACCGTCAGATGATCCAACTTTGGCGCTCACCTGTAAGAATTAACACCAGAAGCTAGAAAGCCCGATATGCTCATCATCGCCTTAGGATTATATTTGGAACAAGATGGCTCTCCATATTTTCGCGGCTCTTTTCAGCGGTTTCACCTTCTGGATGATCGATGACGGATCTTTCTCTCTTCAGCTCAGGCTCTTCGCAGTATTCAACTTTATATTTGTGGCCCCTGCATGCATTGCCGGTTCGTCCGACACCATATGTTCATCGTACTTCAGATGGTTCACTAACTCGAGGTGTTGATCCAGGTATGCAACCATTCTTCCTCCATAACCGCGATCTCTTTGAGACACGCGAGAAGAAGGTAAGCTTCACCACCATAATGATTTAACAAGGAGTGAATGCACTAAAACAATTGACCAGTCCAAAGCATACCACTGGTCGGCCTTTATTGGGGCACAGGTTGTTTCCGAAATACCGTATCTCATCATTTGTGCCACATTATATTTCGCATGTTGGTACTTCACAGCCGGTTTCCCTGTTGATGCCCGTATCTCCGGTCACATTTATCTTCAGATGATCTGTAAGTCAAGTCCAATGACCTAGGGCCTTCAGAGCGGGAGAAGGCAACGAAGAGCACGAGCAGCAAAGGCTGACTCTCTTTCGAATACTAGTTTACGAGTTCTTGTACACCTCCATCGGTCAAGCCATTGCAGCTTACGCACCAAACGAGTACTTCGCTGCCATCATGAATCCTTTACTCATTGGTGCTGGTATGATATCATTTTGCGGCGTCGTCGCCCCTTATGAATCTATGCCAGTGTTTTGGAAGTCATGGCTCTACGTAAGGCTCCTCTCTCCATTGTCATCTTCTCGTTTGTATCTCGCAACTAACATCTATTTAGTGGCTCGACCCATTCCATTATCTCGTTGGTGGCCTTTTTGGCACTGTTGTCTGGGATGTCAAGGTCAACTGCCTCCCCGAGGAATTCACAACTTTTGCCATTCCAGATGGACAAACCTGCGGGCAGTACATGGCCAGCTTCCTTAGCAGCAATGCCGGTTACGTGTCTGATCCGTCTGCCAATGGGTCTTGCAGTTATTGCCCGTACTCAACCGGCGCCGAGTATGCAAAGACCTTCAATATAAATGAGGCGTATTACCCATGGAGAGATGTAAGTGCGATCCTAATGGCTGACACTAGTAAAATAAACAAAAAAGGAGTGCTTTGACTAATGCACATTCTTATATAGACTGGCATCACAGCCTTATTCTCCATCTCTTCGTATGCTCTTGTGTTTCTCATGATGAAACTCAGGAGCAAGAAGACGAAGAGCGCCAGATCTGAGTAGAAAAGACAACAAAGAATGGAAAGCGGCCGCAGGACCAGAACGAAACAAAAATTGACTTGGAATAGACAGATTGTGCATATCAACCCGAAGAGGGTATTAGACAGTGAGATACCTACAGTATTAGATTTAGATTTAGATTGTTACCCATACCGCCGCTCTACCTTGGAGGACAGGTTTAGATTGAGTTTCAGATAGACAAGAGCAGCGCTCATATATTTAAGAACCACTATAATAGCTGAGGAAGAAGCTGTCATATATTGACATGGAATTATTGCGATATATTGATCTTGTTGTTTTGATACTATGGTAAAATCCAATGTCAGCTATCATCGGTCACTTGGCTCGCAGATACTCATAATAATCACATACCATGAGGTGTCACGTCACACCTTCAGTCACATGTTGTATCAATCGAGGTATATTCATAGTCTTTTATTTTAAGCCTTCCTCTTAAAGAAAAATTGAAACCAGTCATGAGTGAATAGTATTATCGACATTATTATTACAAAGACACATTCTTTCGGAAAGACGCCAGTATTAGGTAGTGCCTCTATTGAACAAGAGAGCTGAAGAGAAGATGAGTCAAAGGCTTTTTTTTTGCGATTCGTGTACAGTCGCTCAATTTCGCTGCGTGTGCGTTTGTTTGCTCGTGTCGCAATTCTCGTATTATACATGTCCCAACGTGAGTACAGCCTCCCCGTTCAGATTTGAAAGGGGGAAGCTAAGAATCAATGAGAGAAAAGTAGGAAAGTCCTCAAAAGTTCGGGTATCAGGAAAAAAAGGGTTGACGTAAAAAAGAGACGTAGGGAAGACGGAAGGAGAGAAATTATGGATGCAGTGCTTTAAGCTAGAGTGTATAGTAACACCGGGGGGTCCTCTCTATGTTCTTTTTGTTTCTTTGCCGAGTTGATATTAGTTTAGTTTTGAAAATCCTCAAGGCCGTATCGTTATATCTGCCTCATCGCCACTGAGGTCCAATTCATCGGCGTCTATCAGTTCTCCTCTGGCAGCGCGGTGCGCCAGATCTCTTTCCGTGTAAATCTCCTGCTTACGCGTCTCAGCTTGCTGCAGGCAATCCACGTACGTCCTGAACTTGACAATTTCGCGAAGCAGGTATGCACTCTTCTTCTCCCAGTTCGCCATAGCCTTGATCGCATTGTGGCCCCGGGGTGTAAACGCCAGTAGCATTGGGCTGCGTAGTTGGTTATGCTCTTGCAAACTGTCTTCAATGTTTTTGACGTAAGCAACCAGGGTGGCCAGTTGGTCCGCCTCGCTCGCATTGCTAGGACGCAGGCTTTGTGCTGGCGGCGTCCAGTCTGCGATGTTAACACGATCACCGGGCAGCTTGCCACCACGCCCACTAGCATTGGTAAATGCAGCAGCGGCTTGATCGATACTGGCGGAGCGGAAGCTGCTGATGCTGCCCTTCCTGCCTGTCCCGGTGATGGCGCCGTTGCTCATGTTAGAAGCTCGCCTTGTCGGTGGCCCAGTCGAATCGTTGATTGCATTGACAAGTGCGTTGTTGACAATGTTTTCACTCCATCCATACTCCATATTGCTCACACCACCAATCAAAGGATGCGTGCTCAAGCGCGCGCTCCAGTAGTTGGCAGTCGTGACAAACTCCTTGATGATTTCAGGCGTTCCCACCTGGAATAGATGAACTGCGCCAGTTGGGAGGCTCAGGGCCCACACATGTGGTCGTGTTCGAGAGTACCCAGGGGATGGCAGCGCAGACGCCAGGGTTTGTCTCAAGTTGAATGTACCAACGTTTGTGGCATTGTCTTGCCAGTTGCCACCTCCTACCGCCTGAGGCGCTTTGGGACGAGTTTTCTGCCGTTGAGACTTACTCGAGTTGAAGGAGAAGAGACTCATCTGGCCCTTCTGTACCACAGCAAATACTTCAGTCCACTGCCTGTCCTTCGCCTTCTTGTCCACTCCATCCAAGTGGTGCTTGTGAATAACCCTTCCCTCCTTGACCCACGGGGGTCCAGTGATTTCCAGTGTTTCATCCTCCAGGAGCCGAGAGGCCGGGATGTCTGCGCTGAGAATTGACGGCGCTGTCTCATAGCCATTGGCATCCTCGTCCCGGATGATAGCTTGACTTAGAGCATTCGCGAAACCGATGGATTGTTGATAGTCGCCACGTGGGAACGCAGAAGCAAACGAATCTTGCGATACCGTTGTCTGTGTCCGGCCAAGAGACTGTCGGCTCCATGTTGCAGAGGACAATGCTGGACTCCAAAGAGAATTGTTATCCTCGAAACTAGTTCTACTCGAGTTGAATCCATTACGTCCAAGTCCAGGAGGTCTGGAGCGGCTCTTGGACACCCAGCGAGAGCCTGGCCCACGGGTGGACTCCGCGTTACGACCTCTCATGGAGAGATTGCCTTCAGATGGAGCCTTGCTGAGCACACTTGGGGTTCGTCTCAGCATGTTCATCACTCCCAAGCCCTGCGATGGCGAAGTTGGCAGGCTCTTCTGTGGGTCAGCACCAAAGAGAGGCAGTCTCTCATCACGAATCGAGTTGTAGATGGACTTGAGGACAATCTCTACTTGCTCTTCCCAGCTTTTGATGTTGCCGGTGTGGGGCGACTTGACCAGTGGCCCGCAGTCATTCACAACATCAATTCCGTCCGAATCGCCCCGCGGCGGTGGTCGGAACGAGTTTCTGAACGATCTACGTTCTGATTCGGTAGGCGTTGGTGATATTGGCGTTGCAGATGGTATGGTTGTTGGGGTATCAAGCATGCCTGGGCTCTTTGCTGAGAGGATGGGTGGTCTCTTCTCAAGAGCATCCGGCATCACCTCAGCCAGGGCTTGGATAATTGTTCCCATCGTATTCTTGACGAACTGACTGCGAGTCATCTTTTGCTCGATATCTGCCATGTGTAAATCGGTGTTGAGAAGCATGATCGAATAGCAAATGGTGTGAATGATATCTGCAAGACGTTAGTGAAGGTTTGGTTGAATCGAAGAATCATGCGGCGATATATACCTGAGGCCTTGAAGCCATGATTGGGGTTGCAATCACACCACCGCTTCGAGAACGCTACCAGAATACGGTCGACTTGCTGGGTCTCAGCACGGAAAACCAAGCGACTACAGACCTGACGCAATGATTGCAAGACGCTTTGGTTTGTGAAGTCATACAGGTCCATGTAGGCTTGGAGGGTCTTCTTTCTCACAGGACCTTCCTCACCCATCCAGGACGCGGCCTTGTCTCTCTGAATGAAATCTTCATTTCCATCAAAAATCCTCTGTGCCTTTTGTCTATCGTCCTCGGTCGGCTGGCCAAGAACAAATTCGGGCTCGTCAAGTTGCTTGGAGTCCAATGGAGTCGTAATTTTAGCCCCAGACTCCAAGGTCGTTTCAATTCGAAGGTCGGGTGGCTTGATCATTGAAGAGGCTCGAGGAGTAACGGATGGATCTGGGAATGGCTCGGCTTTCGCTTTCGGGGTAGGATCGTCGTCAGTGAATGAAGTCAAGGCAGGCGACAGACTACTTGTCCGTTTACCGAAACGGCTGTTGTCAGTGAACAATGTTTGTGCTGTCTTATCTTTGCCCTGGGCTGTGTCGTTTGCCTCGCCAGGACCATCAAGGTCCAAGAAAGAATTCGTCGTCTTCGATTTACTGGCAGATCGGGTTGGAGTAGCGAGCTGGTCTGCTTTCTCCTTCTCCTGTGAGGAGTCTGATTGTACCTTTCTGATTCTTGCGTTGGGGTTGGGCTCGTATTCAGGGGAAAAGTCTCTCTTATACGCTTGTTGCTCAACAATGTCCCCTTCTTCCTCCTCACCACCCATGAGATCAGCCAGGGTCATCTTGCCAGCGTTCGATGGGGTCATATTCTGCTTCTGGGCCTGGGTCTTTGCTGGCACCCCGGGCTTTGAAGGGGTTACTGAGTCGCGAAGGTACGGGTTCATAACCTGACGTAGGCTGCTAACGGGACTCGTTTCGGCTTTGGTAACAGGTTTGTCCTTGTTAGCGTACAGGTTCAGGGGTGGAACCGGAGGTAAGTTTTCGGCGACTGAAACAGGAGGTGCATCATCAACCACAGACTTCTTTCGGCGACGGAAAAACGAAGTCTTCTTCTGCAAGACGGGGTGATTCGAATGCGATGATGCGGTATCTCTCCCCTGCGTTTTGCTGCCAGTGCTGGTGCTGGCATTATCAGGAGCAGGAGAATCACCAGTATTGCGTCGACCGTTCTGGCTGGAGTCGGGGGTAGTAGCGATTGGGTTGCTGCTGTGCCTTGAAGAACCACCAAACACACGCTTGAAGAAGCCTTGCTTCTCCTTGGGCTGTGGTGTCGAGTTATTGCTCGCAAGCTGCGCAGCCTGCTCTTTGGGTTTACCATACCCAACGGCCGGGGCGGGTGCCGAGTCAGAAATTGGCAGGGGCGGCGCCGGCTCTCGTGCGACTGTTTTGTTTCGGGCAGATGCGCTCTTCACCGATCGACTCGAACTACGATTTCGATGGGCAGATGAGGATTGGGCCGGTTCCGGTTGCTTCGGGGCAGTCGAGGGGGGTTTTCGAGGGCCGCCTGGGACTGTTGGGTTGGGCGCGGCATTCAGATCCTCGCTGGTAAAACTCGTGACCCTATCGGCCTTGAGCGAGCGCGTCATGCTGTCTACCTGGGCAAGATCCGAGGGATGAGAGCCTTGATCGATGCTAGCTGATCGGCGATGGCTGCGACCCCAACGGCCGCCGGTGTAGCCATTGCCTTGACTCTGCAAACCGTCAATGCTCCCACTGCCAACACTGCTGCTCTTGTGTCTGTGGCTTCCTTGCTGAGGCGATTCCTTTGGTGTATCCGACTGGCTTCGACGCATTGTCTCGCGGACAAGGCTGGCTCGACGGGGGACGTCCTGGATCGTCGCGTTACTATTGCTGCGACGGTCGCGCGAGTACTGGCTCGACAGTCGGCTTGAGGTATCAATGTCAGAACTGTAGGAGAGACTTCGAGTGTGGTTATGGAAGGCAACAGGTGGTTCGGGATTCTCCAAGCGGTACCTCGGGATGTCGAAGAAACGGGGCAAATCGTCCTCGTCGTCCTCTCCAAATCTCGGGGCGTCGTTGTGCAGGAAGGAGAGCTTGTCGAGGGACACTAGCATATTAGTGACTAGAGAGTCACGGGTAACATCGCGGGTCGAGAGTGATAAATCATGCGAGTCGCGATGCGGGTGAGGGCGAGGGACTTGGGAGGAATGGTGGTCTGCCATGTCGGCGGCGACGGCGTCGAGGGAGGTATGCTTGTCTAAAAGGGTTTCATTCGGCTGGTAGGAGGTGCTTGTGCTTGGGCTATGATGGCGGCTTGGCCTGCGCGAGCCACTAGACGAGGCGCTTAGTGGTCCGGCAGAAGCCTCTCTCGGCACACCACTGCTGGAGCTGGTCAGGTACCAGTGATACAGTGTGGAATCTGGCGCCGAATCATCCGGGGATGCAGTATTAAGATTGTTCCGCCTGAAGGAGTGATTTGTCTTGAGCTGTAGGGGCATTGCGGCAGCTGGCGGCGGACTCAGGGAGCTAGCAGTGCTTTCTGGGCCTGGACATTGATGGGCAGTTGGCGCTGGTCGGGTCTTAGTTGGGGGGCGACATGCGCCAGCCAGGGAGTGCAGTGGCGCGCGCCTGGAATCGGGGTGTGCGGTGGTGGTTGAGAGATTGCGAGCAGCACTTAACGAAATGAATTCCACAACCGGTGGTGCATGTGCGGGTAAATGCAAAAAGGAAAAATTGCAGCAATAATTCAGGAAATAAAATCAACAGGTGTCAGCAAAGGGAGTTAAGCTTTCCTTGGCCAGATATCTGCGCCTGTGTACGGCAGACTTATCAGGCTTGCTGCTGAGTTGAGGCCGCTCAATTAGGATGACCACCGCACAGATGAAACATGGATTCAGGGTCCAGGTGTGGCACTCCACCGGACTCTTGATGGAACAAGAACGTGAACAACGCGAACACTATTCCAGAACAGAGGAGGAAGAGGAATCGAGCGCTGTGGGAATTCGTCGGGCGCTGCAGGGGTGCGGCCGTCGCTTACAGCTTGGGGGGTATAAGACGCAGCTCAATGGGCAATAGTACTATCACGAAGCGAACGCAACGCAACCCAACCCAACCCAATTCAATGAACCCAATCTAACCCACCCGTACTCCGCGAAGTGAATTGATTGTGCAATCTCGCCCCAGCGACTCGCGCAGACCGGAACAGGTCGCCTTTGGGTAAACTTTGACGCCTTCCATGTTCTCTGGGGGATGCCACTTGCCAGGTCGGTGCTAGTTCAGGGCGGCCAGGCACCGCGGACGGGGCTCATGGTGCAATGATTGGCTCCCCCTTTCACCCACATGTGCTCTGTTTGCTGGGAACAAGCACCCGGAGTGGGGCCTTCAGGTGCCTAGACTGGCGCCACCGCAGCGGAATGGCACCAAGTGCATGGACAAGCACAACCGTCCACGGCCCAACGTCTCCTCACCTGCGGCTACCCTATGCACCCTGCCCGCCCACTTTCTGTTTCTGGACCAAGGATGCAACAGAGAAACAAGGAACATCCTTTGTGCTTTTCGCTGTGGCTTGCTTCGTGCCGGGCCGCCGAACTTCGAGAAGCAACGGAGAGGGCAGGAAAGCAAACAAACCGAACTGCAGAATGTTGGGTCTGCCACACACGCACAACACAGTACGGTGCCTACCTCCAAACGGTGTTCGTGCATCCCGTTCTACGGTAGGTATGTCCGCTTGGTACGGCTCGACATTTGCCTAGATGCCCATTAGGTTTTCTTGAAGCGTGGTCCTGAGTCTCACTGGTTGATACCAACAACTAACACGATGGCTACGGTAGGATGGTTATTAGGCACCTCCCTACCTGCTCGTCTTGGAGCGCCGTTCGCATACTTTTCCTGGATTGACTAGCCGCAGATCATGGAGGCTATTACCTCGCCTAACAACTGGTTGTTCGTTAGCCAAAACATGGGGTGGAGAGTGACCAATGCCTCCGTATGCTCATGGATCCCCTAACGTCTCAGGATCCCGAATGTTGCTGAAACAGGCGGGGAAGCTTAGCTTCCTGTGGTGCAACACTGGACAGATGCTGTAGCCCTCAAGAGATCGCAAGGTCGGTGAGTAGATTCATTGATGAGATTATGGGAGCCGAATGGTGTGGCATTGACTTCCAGAATCAAGATAATCACCGTGGAGCATCCCCAGGAAAATGGAACGTATGCACTTTCTTCAGAGGCATTGTGTAAATCTATACACACAAGACATGTTAATTCATGTAACACTTCTTATCCGGCTGGATCTCGTTCCGGTGCACCTAGTCCTTGCAGCCCGGCCGGATCCTTCAAGCCATGAGCGCAAGATTGAGCGCGCCCAAAAGTTTGAAGATGTCCAAGTTCTCGCAGCAACCAAAGCTTTGAGGTTGTCCAGGTATTTTAAAGAACGATTTTACATTTGGGAGTTGTAGGCGGCCAAATCACACAAAGAGTGTGTGACAGGACGTTGTCCGGAGTCTGCTATCGAAGTCAACGATCTGGTAACCAAGCTTGGGCAAGCCTCCGGTGATAGTGCGGCTCTTGACATCAGCTCTTCGGACGGACGATGAGATGAATAATCCGCCGACCATTACCCTAGCCAGGCTGGTTGATCGGCTCGCGAGATAGGCCTGCCAGGTCAAATCCAAAATACCTGGTCTGTAAAGACGATCCAGTTTCATAGTGAGACATATTCTGTAAGACCTTGGCCCGCCCTGATTCACCACTCACACAACCTGGAAATAATCATTCACCTGAACGTTCTACCGACAACCAGGCGCAACACCTGTGCCGATCGTTGTGGCCGTTGTCGGTCAAACACAATACAGGGACGGATTTGGCACCTTGGCTCCCCGGACAATATCTACCAGACTATCTTGGCATCACAAATACTTAGCGGGAGACTGTTCGCTTATCATCGCTAGTAGGCCAATTAATTCCCCATGGCTAGCAACAGAGGCAGTCTCTATCTACCGATATTCCGGGCCTTTGGGCTTTCATACCTCAGTAGGCTCAGTTCACGAAGCCCTGCCCATGTGGGAGCAAGGATCATGAAGAGGTGTCATGGACAACAGGCGGGGATTTCCGGTCCCCAATCAACGGGCCCATCAACCATCCAATATTCCAACATGGGAAGGTCGGGAAGTTCTAAGCGCCCCCGTATGCGTTGTCCCCTCAAATTGCACACCCATCCACACCAGCTTTCCGACGACTGAATGCCCTGAGGTCTCGGAATGTCAGCAAAACAAAACACATGCAAAGAGGCACATGCTGCCAAACCTCACAGGCATGCCACGCGCGCACACCCTACAAGGCCCATCCTTGCCAGCGCACCGGGAACCTCGTGGCAACGGAACAAAAATCGCCTCCTCCACCTTCTGATTTGCTGGAAAAGAGAGGAGGAAGATTAAGAAAATCTCCGTGCCTTGCCAGCCTGCATGTCGACTTTCCGTAATAGCATATTCCTCCGTGACTTTGGCCTTCTTCCTGTCTGTTTATATCCGAACAAATTACTTTGTTATCAATCATCGAACACGATTCTACCTGTTAATATCGTAATTATGCATCAACGAGTTGTCAACCCTGCAAGAGAGCCCAACCATCATCTATAGAGGCTGTAACCTATACCCACCATCAGACGACTTGTTGGGGTGGGCGTACGTTGCCTTGTCAATGCTTTGCGAACCATGGCCGTTCAAGTTTGTTTGTACTCGTGGCCAGGCGATTACGACCAATGGCAACCAAGAGCGTGCCTCTTGCAGATTCTAGCAGGATCTGCCCTTTTTGCGAGCGAATGAGTTTGTGCCACGGATTTCCAGAGTATCATGGTCAGAATCAGTGATGCTTAGAAGCGAACTATTGGCGCCTCTTGTATCAGCCAAAGCGATGCCATTCCTGCTCCGCATTGGTCCTGCTCGAACGCCCACCGAGACTTAGGCCTCAACGAACCTACACTGATTAGGTAGAATTCGTTGTCTTGGTGTGGATCTATAGCAGTGTCCCGAAAGGCACGCAAACCCAAACACATAGGGCGCGACTGTCTAGGGTACCTATGTTTGACAGATGGAGCCTCCGGTGCCAATGATCTCTGAGCTGAGGTGATGAACATGGCTCAGCAAGTAGAATATTGTTGAATTAGTCTCGCAACCCAGAACAGACCAGATAAGTGTGCGCTGGAATGAAAGGGACGGCGACTGTATTGGCTACAGCATTTAGAGGTAAATTAGAACTTAGAAACTGTGATTACATTCAGCTTGATGGAAGTACATAACCGGTTGGGTTTTTCATATATTGAGCTAACGGTATGTAACACAACGATATTGCGAAGAGAAACTAGGCACAGCTTATTCGCAAACAAACCAATGAAAGATAGGGCAGCCCAAATTATCCAAGTTCGTAAGGTAGTCTAATTGAGGTGAATTACAAAATTTCCGACGAGTCCAAAACTCGCTGTTCAAACTCGTCTCTCCTGCTTGCTCTGACTGGAATACGACATCAAAGGGTCTGAGGCATTCTGCCTTCGCGCCAGCCTACAATCTCGTTTCACTAATCGCCTCGGCGCCTCGGAAGCAATTGTCGTCCCTGCCCTCCACTCTCTGCCACTGGCATGTCCACTACAACCCTATAGCGTGGCATTTCGAGGGATGCCTCCTTCGAGAAACAGTAGAGGCGGGCTTTCTTTAGGGCTCCTTCCATTTCGATAACTCCATAGCCGGCATAAGTCGCGGACCTTGATTTCTTCTTTCCTCTTTGCAAACTCCGGATCTACTCCGTGGACTGCCACGGCTACCTCTGGCGTGTTGGACGAAAGTCTCCATGTGCTGGCAACCGTAACCTCAAGCGATTCTCTGGAGTCCTCCATAGACACATTCTCTGTGCTAAAGCCGACAATTTCATCCATGAAGGAGTTTTGTTCATCGGCCCCAGTGAACTCTCCGGTTTTCGGATCTTGGACGAGCGGGAACATACCTTCGAGGTAGTGTTGGTTAAATAAGTGCCCCCCATTTCCGGAAGACCTGGCAAAAAGACGACCAACGAACCGAGGGATCTGCGGAGAGCCCATAGTGTTTGTCACGAAGTGCAGAACCCCCAA